GAATGGGAGCTGAAGAGAGCGCTTCTAACACCACAGAATTCAAGTGGAGAACCTCTCCTGCTCCTCCTGGAGACAGCCCAGTCCTGGGTGAGGATAGAATGAAGAGCTACAAATGCTCCCTGTGCTCCCCATGGCTGCACAATTCCCAGCCAGGCGCTTTTCCTCTGCTCCAAATCCCCTCTGTGCCCCAGGAAAGGGAGATAAAGGAAGAGAAAATGTTTAATTGCTGCTGGTTTCTGCAGGGAAGATGGATGAGGCACACACTTAGTGCCTCTGAGTAAGGACCCCAAGCCCTGGAGCTGTACAAAAGCTTCAGGATGAAGGATCAGCATCACAACCAGGGGAGAAGTTGCACTTTGAGTATCAAATTCAACTAATTTTCAGTTATTAAACACTAATCAGATAAAATCCAGCGCAATTTACATCAGATCCAGGGAGATAAAATCCTTTATCAACCACTTCAGGAAAACCACAAACTTTTATTTTAATAGATCAGAGCAGCCTTGCCCTTTTTCATTCCCAAAAAAGCTGCTCCAAACCTGCTCCTTCTCCTCCTGAAGAGCTTTGCCACCACCACTGCCACTCTTCCCTCCCAGGGCTCCTACTTCCTCCCACTGTTTCATGCCTCAAGAAGCCCAGACTCAACATTTGGGTGATAATTTAAATAAATTAACAAATCTAATTCCTGACTCAAGGCCATGAGCAAGAGTGGAAGCTCCACCCTGAGATAAGAAAGATGAAGAAAGTCAGAACGGCATTCCTGGTGAAGTCTCAATTCAGCACCTGGAAGTTATTCAAACAAACTCTTTCATTTTTTGACCTAAAACAAAAATAAAAAAACAGAGATGGGGGTGCATGACCATGGGGAATAAGGAATACCTGTCTTTATTCTTGACATTGGGGGTCTCAGCCACGATGCCAGCATAGAGCCACATCTGATTGCCATCCTTGTACCTGGCCACCACCCTCCTGCCCACGTGGTGCCTCTCAGCAGACGGGTGGTAATCGTAGGCAATGTGGTTGCCCGAGAGCAAACTCTTTCCTTTGTTATCAAATTTCACTTTGTATTTCTTGCCAGCACCTGGAAAGACGTTTTAAAGCAAACAGGAGATAAATAAAAGGGAAAATAAACAAAAGGCAAGTGATTTCACAGCAGAATTCCAACGCTCTGGGTCACTCTGAGATCGTTTATTCAGAATTAATTCAGAATTCATTTCAAAGCCCTTCAGGATTTAATTTGGAGGGTGAAGCAGTGGAGGTGTGTTGCTCCTACAATCCTTTCCAGGTGACATCAGATGCTCTGACACCTTTTCAGCCAGGTTTCCCACCCAAAATCCCAGGAAAGCCCACATACCAACTGGCTGGATGGCAATCAACGTCCCCTTGTGCCACGTCTTGGTTCTTTTTTTCCCCAAAATCCTCATGCCCACTTTGAGGTCCCCATCAGTGTTGAGATCATTGCTAGGGGCTGCAGGGACAGTGACAGGCTGGGCAGTGCCAGGAGGTTCCTGAGGGGGCTGTGCATCTACCAAGGAACAACAGCAGAAAATCAGTTCTAAATCACCCAAAGCACAGCTGGAAGCACAGTTCTGGAAGAAGAATTCCTGTTTTTCTTCCTCTCAGGCAGCTCAAGTGCCTCTTTCTTACTGAATGGAAATAACTTGGGAAAAAAAAGCAGGAATTCAGAACCAATACACCCTGAATTAGAGTAGCAGTTTGGGATCAATAAATATGAATGGAGATTTCCAGCAGGGAAAGCAGATCATTGTTTTTCCATTTTGGGAAGCAAGGGCACACAGCCCCTGGAAGCTCCCACACCTTTCTGTGCTTCCTGCAAGTTGGTTTTCTTGTTTACAGCATCCATGAATTTTGCAACATCCCGGGCAGATTTCCTCATGGCAGCCATTGCTTCCCTCAGCTGGAGGAAAGAGAAAGGAAACACAGAAAAACTTTTGGTTTTTTGCACCTAATACGACGTTGTGTCTCAGGAAAACCCCACATGAAGAAACATCTCTAGGCAGGGCCTCCCCACTCACCAGACTCTGATCCCTGGAGATTCTGGGACTGCTGCTGCCTGAGGGTGAAGAGAAAACTGGTTTAAAACCTTTAGTGGAAAAAAATCCATCCTGATTAAAGCACAGAGAGCAGAGGGAACAGGGAAAAGTGCCCATCCCAAATCCCTGCCAGGAAACCCAACCAGACAAGGCTTTTCCTCAGCCACCTCTCCTCATGTGGGATCATGGGGACAACAGTGAGGCAGGTGGGAAAAGAGTGAAATCCCAGCTGGGGACTCCAGGAATCCTGGGATTCCAGGAATTCTGGGACACAGACAGCACCTGGCAGATGCTCCCCATGAGGTAAGGGCATTCCCTTGTCCCCAACCCTCCCATGGCCCTGCTGGGGACACTGAACTGTGCTTTTGGGTCACAAACTGAACTGAACTGCGTTTTTGGGACACAAACTGAACTGAACTGCATTCCTGGGACACAAACAAGGTCTGGCAGATGCTCCCCACAAGCACTCCCTTGTCCCCAGCCCTCCCCTGGCCCTGCTGGGGACACTGAATTGTTTTTGGGACACAAACAAGGTCTGGCAGATGCTCCCCTTGAGCTAAGAGCATTCCCTTGTCCCCAACCCTCCCCTGGTCCTGCTGGGGACACTGAACTGCATTTTTGGGACACAAACAGGGTCTGGCAGATGCTCCCCACGAGCACTCCCTTGTCCCCAGCCCTCCCCTGGCCCTGCTGGGACACTGAACTGCGTTTCCAGCCCGAGTCCACGCTCATGACATCGTCGTCCTCCTCGTCCGGGATCTCGATCACTTCCGTGGCCGCCGGTGCCTCGTCCTCCGAGCTGCTCTCCCGGTACTGCAGGCCCATCATGGAGTACAGCTCCTTGGCCAGTGTCTCGCACTTGTCCATGGCCCTGGGGGAGGGAAACCAGCTGTGCCCCTTGAATTCCACAGGGAGCTACCCCTGACTGCTGAGGGAGGGCTCAGCCAGCTGAGGGAAGCGTCCACAGGAAGGGTTTAAAGCCTTGGGAGGAAAGTTGTCAGTGTGCCTCATTAAGCAGCCACGCCGTGGGTCTGTCCTGAAGGGAAGGGAGCAGCCCCCCACATCCCCCTGCTGGGAATTCCAGCTCATTCCAGGCCCACACACCTCACAGCATCATCAATGAGCTGGTCAACGTGGGCCACCTCCTCCTCCTTGTGCCTCATGCACTGCTCCAGCTCCTCCAGCTGCTGCTTCCGCTGCCTCACCCACTCGGAATTCTCCACTTCTTTGTCGATGATCTCCCGGAGCTCCTCCATGGAGATTCCCAGCTCCTCCATCACCTCCTCCTGCAGCTCCTTGATGTCCTGGGAATCCATCTCTGCCGCACCTGAGGCCAGGGGAGGAAGGTGAGCTGAGGAAGGAGAGGTCGGAGAGGGAGATCATGGGAGCTCCTTCACCCTTTCCCACCTTCCTCTGCCCCAATGTCCCCTCAGAGACCCCCCCCGGTCCCCTCACAGCCCCTCCGGTCCCCTCACAGCCCCTCCGGTCCCCTCACAGCCCTCCCCGATCCCCTCACAGCACCCCCGGTCCCCTCACAGCACCCCCGGTCCCCTCACAGCCCTCCCCGATCCCCTCACAGCACCCCCGGTCCCCTCACAGCACCCCCGGTCCCCTCACAGCCCTCCCCGATCCCCTCCCCCTCATTACCCCACACCGGGTCCCCCTCATCCCCTCCCAGCCCTGTCCGTCCACCCCGCTCTCTCACAGACCCTCACAGGCCTCCCCGTTCCCCTCAGCCCCGGCCGCTCCTCCTCACTCACCGCCGCCGGTCCCGGGGAACCGGAGCAGAACCGGAGCAGAGCCCGGCGCGCCCGCCGCGTGACGTCACTTCCTGCGCGTGCCGCCCGCGCCTGGCGCCTCCTGGCGGTCCGGAGTGGTGTGGGGGGCGGGGGGGGGGGGGGGGGAAAAAAACCCCCA